ACTGGTGATGTCACTTCATGGACAAGATGCCTGTCTGTGCAGCTGTCAGTAAGAAACGATAGCTACACAGCGCATGTCATACCAATATATAGCAGAATTGTGCCATCTTCCTTCTCTTCGACGATGTGGTCCTCGAAGACCTTGTCGTACAGGGTCTGCGGCGGTTTCACAGCAGACGGCATATTGGATATGTGAGGTAGAAGTTGCACAACAAGTCCAAAATAGGTGCAGGAAAATAGAGTTGGAGATCAAGAAAGTGAGACGTGCTCGGCCAGGGCAGGTATCGGCTTAAATGAGGCGCGTGTGGAACTCAAATCCATGGAAGGCGAACGAGGCACAAAAAGATGCCGGCCGATGTTCGGAGTCGATGGTAAGAGGGGCACAGCCGCCAATCACGCCGCGAATGATGACGGTCCGCCTCGGCCTCCACCGCTGTCGGGCTGCGATACTTCACATCTGGTAGGTGCCAGGCGGTGATAGCGCTCTTGGGCGATATAACATGCAGGCAACCTTGTCGCGCATCGCCTCTGGCGCTGCGAGCGCTCCTCTAGGTACTGTTTCCGCAACCAATGACGACATTCACGTGTCGAGAGGTCGCTCCTGCCCCGCACTGCGCCTGCCCCACTGCACCGCCTCCCGGCCGCCGTCTGCAGCGTCAGCAAGTCTACCAACGTTCCGATTTGACACTGGACGAGCATGTTGCGACGACAGCTGACGAGGCCCTGGCCAGCCCACATGTTCACCCACGCTCCGTGAGGCTGGAATTGACATGACAGTAGCCCAAGTGCAGAAGCAATTTGCTGTGTTTGAAGAAGAAAACAATAGCCGTTGATAAGCAAGCGAGCTACCTCGTCCGACCGCGATCCTTCGACTGTATCGCTATTCCCACCCAGTATCGCTTCTATCAACGCGGGGTGAATACAATACGCCGAGACTCCCGGCAGGTCCCTTGTGTCAGATGCGCTCCAGCCATCCTCCCAGTAATTTACATGTTCCACGATACTATAGTACACCCACCGGTCTATATGCATACCCACACATCTACAAGTTGTCCGCTGTAAAGATAAGCAATGCCATGCGATGCCGCACAAATAGTCCTACAAGTCCAATCGCGAACTGGAACGCGAGCAAACCCATAGCTAAGCGGTCCTCCCGCATGGGACCGAACCATACTAACCACAAGTTGATTAGTGTAAAGTTGCTCGACGAGACCACCTGCCCTTTCCCATCCGTCTCAACATCGAGCATCCGAAGCCGGTGCAGCACCTTGAGGCTCTCCGCTATCGGTCGTCGTAGTGGTTTGGTGAATTCGACGCGCGAGGGCTCCAGTAAACCTGTCCGTGCGTTGAAGTGCGGAAGCCGATGTCGGGGACATGGTACGATGTGGAACAGCTGGGGTGCCGAGTAGACAAAGTTGAACGCTTGCGGTAGGAGTAGCAACATGAGCGTTTTGCTGAAGTGACCGAGGATGGCCACTACGGCGAAGACCATGCCTGCAAAGTAACAGTAAGTGTCGCCCACAAACACCTTTGCTGGATACCAGTTGTGCATCAGTAAGGCCATCGAGACACCGATAAACGGTAGTAGCAGATACAGCGAAAACAGATGCGAATCCGTCGCTGGATGTGGGTACGTCGTAAATGGTGAGAGATACAGCATATCATTGCCGACAATCAGGACTGCAATGACTATAGACTGGGCCACCTCGATGCCGTTGATGCCCGCCAAGATGTTAATGCTATTCGAGGAGAAGATGGACATCAGCGCCATGTAGACGTAGTAAAGCCAGCCTGAGCGTATGTTAATGGGCAATTCAGAAACGGCTATCGATGCAAGTACATACCCAGGTCAAAGAGCTCGCCAAGGTAAGGCCTGAGTGGTAGTGGGACGACCATCTGCGTCACACCAAAGTCGACAAAGTAGACCACGAGCATGGGAATTACTGCAAAGGCTGGGATGAGCACCTTGTGTCGCCATCTTATGTCGAACAGGTCGTCACCAATACCGAGCAGTACGATCGACTGGAGAGAAAGTATGGCCGACAGATAGGACGCAAGCTTGTTGTGAGGAAACCTGTGTAGTAGCCTCCCGGTCTCGATCAGCTCCAGTTCCTTGATCGTGTCCCGATTACCGCCGCCTGATGTTGCGACTACAATGTCTTTGTAGAACGGCCATGGTACGAAGAAGATCAAGATGAAAAGGTACACCATAGCACACACCGCGCCCATCATCTCTGGGCTATCGTCATTAGTCGATTATCATCATATGCAGTACTTGACACTCACATTTCAATCTGCTTCAGCTTACATAGATCCTTCCCTTTGAAGCCACGCTTCGCAAAGGCATCTCCAAGCCATCGTATCAAAGCATAACAGAATGCAAAGGCCAGACCACTGAGCGCTATCGACGCAACAAGCGGCTCACCGTCACCGTGAAGCGTGTTGGCCAGCACACCGACACATGCGAGCGATAGGGAGAGCAGTGAAAGTGATTCTGTTGATGATAGCGCGCTCGCCATGGTGACAGTGATAGTGTCTGATGTCGAGGTGACGGCGGATCTTGGCACGTGGACGCCTGTAGCTGTTGACTCCGCGCGGCCGTTTGCTGTCGCGACGATATCAACAACGGTTGCGCAACCTCCCCACAGCAACACCGTCACGACCTGCCGTTTTGCCGAATCGCCACCTCTTTGTCTGAACCCGGAGCGTGACTCTGCGTGAATCGTTCGAAGTGGACTTGAGACTGACAGATAAAGATTGTGAACAGATCCACGACTCCAGCAACGAAACCAACAAGCTCGCCGAGTGAGCGAGAGACGAACAGAGCAGCACAATCTGCACGAGGTCGTGGTTGCGGTGTTTGGTGAGTAGAGATTCTGGCAAGGTGTTGTTTCGGCTTCTTCCTGCTCTGCTAACCCGAAACGATAGACCCACGAACATTGGCATCAACATGGCGGACCACAACCAAGCCAGCCGCTCGGCCAAGGCTGATGAGCTCCTGGACGGTCTGAATGCGGTGAGCAGTCATCTCGCGTCGCGAAGTTTCCTCCAGCACTTGACAGCGTCGCGTCTGCCCTCTGCTGCAGTCAGCGATTCGTCCTCGCTGGGCCCCACCAAGGAGGAAGCACGGTCGCCTGCACGGAGACCGCATCTCAATATCGCCGCCGCTTTCGAAGACGAGATCGAGCACGTGGATCTAATCGCTCCCCTGATTCAGGAGCCTTGCGCCGACGGCAGCACCGGCAGCGTCGAGCAGCGCGTCATCGACCAACTAGAGGTGGCCTTTGTGTGTGCGCATCGCGCCTACGCTGAGATGGCTGCAGAGCGAAGCTTCCAGACCTTCTCGCATGGCCACCAGGACCTCGTACTCGCTGTCGACTTCAACTACTTCGGCACGCGCATGGTCACGGCAAGCTCAGATCACCGCGTCAAGGTCTGGGACAAGAAGGACGATTCGTGGACCTTGGTCGAGAGCTGGAAAGCTCACGATGCCGAGATTGTCGATGTAAGTTATCTAATCTTCAGCCGCAAATCTTCTTTCGGTCACCTGCATGCCTTTTTGCCACCTTTGTGACCCGTCGCTAACTTCATGTACAGGTCAAGTGGAACGGCCCCTTCATGGGCGAGGTTGTCGGTAGTATTGGTGAAGATGGTCGCTGCAAGATCTGGCAAGAGGACGTCACCGAGGTGGCCATGTCTGGCAACCGCTTCAAGCTGGTCTACGTACTCCCTTCATTGACCAACGCGCCGTTCATGTCTTTGGACTTCAAGAACATCATGCAGGAGACCTGGCTCGCGCTCATCACCCGCGACGGCTATCTCACTGTGTACGAGCCCCAGGATCAGAACAATCTCCACGAATGGACTATCCTGGCAGAGCGCTGGGTCTCCGAGAACAACCCTCCCGAGCGCCAAGAGGAGGTAGGCTTCAAGGTCGTCTTTCACAAGGAGAAGCTACCCTGTTGGACCGCCATCACCGCTGGCCTTGACCGCAAGTCGCTATCCCTCGCTGTTGCTGCTATGAAAGATGTCCTTGTCTTCCGCACCGACAAGGCCAAGCGCTTCTTCCAAGTTGCGAAGCTAGAGGGTGCTCGTCAGATCATTCGAGACCTAGCCTGGGCGAATGGTTCTATGCGAGGTTACGACATCTTGGCCACAGCTAGCAAAGACGGCGCTATTCGCATCTATGAGCTTCGTACGCAGACCGAGGATAGGAACACTGCATCTGGAGAAGCATCGTCTTCCGCTCCGCTTTCAGTCTCTCCTCGAGGCCATCGACAGAACGCCCCATCTGGTATCGGAGCTGGACTGGCAGGAGCTTCCAAGGCCCCCGACACTTCCATTGAGAACGAGCAGTATCCTGGTCGCATCAAGCAGAAGGTAGAGATGACCGATGAGCTTACCAATCATCACGGAGCGGTTTGGCGTGTCGCGTTCTCGCAGATGGGTAAGTCACACCGGAAGAACATGCACAGTCACAACTAACAATTATTACAGGTGATCTTCTAGTCACTACTGGAGATGACGCTAGCATTCGTACCTGGAAGAGGGCTGCTGATGGCCACTGGCAGGAATATGCCCAGATTGAGACCGCTCAAGATAACTAACGAGTCAAACGTTTCCTGCATTGTCAGACTCGACATGTTAGGGCTCGACATGGTCTTCTGGATGAGACATCTACGGCGTTGGTGGTAGGCGGATCGGCGAAGGTCTGTTAGCATGCCAAAACGCATTGCATAACGGAGCAATTATGGGATGAGGGAGGGAGATTTTGCATATGGAATTTTCGGCGTTTAGGCATAAGGATAACACCACACGACATACGACGCATGGCTATTACGCCGCGTCCAGGTCATTTCACGTTTAGATACCCACGGCTATCCATCACCGATTCATCAGCCATGTCATGGTGGGACTTTTCATTTCAGTCATCGTTGGAATAAAAAGAAGAATAGCAGCTATGCTTACACTAATATCATGCACCCACGTCCGCCGTTGTCAATGCTGTACCACACCAGTCGAAGCTGCTGTCTTTACTCACGACAGCCTCAGTCTAAGTCGCCGCTGCTGTCTTTACTTACATCGGCCGCAGTCCAAGCCTCCGCCGCCTGCTTCTTCATCAGCTGCCGCAGCAACCGACCCGGTTGAAGCTGCTATCTATGGTTACAGCGCCCAAACAATGAAGAACTATATGGATGGGATGTCTATAATGCTGGAGCAGAGCCACCCATGGTCATCGACGATGCTGTTGCTGAAGACCCAGAAGCTGCCAGAGCGGAACGGGAGTTATGGCTTTACCTGCCCTTTACAGATCAAGAATTAACGGATACCACGCTGTCTAGCGAGGAGGTCGTAAGGATGGTAGAACGCGGCTATCCCGCTCTTGCAACCAGTGCCATGGCAGATTTCTACCAGTCAGCTCGTGAGCACCTGTCTACATCGCCGCCGCTCACCATCTCAGTGCGCGAGGAGTATCCGACGACATGGCCAACTACAAACACAGCAATGGATGGCTACTGGGGCCAAGCTACCGATGCGGAGAAAGCTCTTCACCCTCCTGACCACCAGGTTGACTCTACAGACGACTTTGCATGGCTTGATATGTCAGAGAGGTTGTTAGTCAAACCCTGTGGGAGCCCCAACGACTCTCTCATGGTGTTGTCCTCATATCCGACTGCTGACGTCAACTCAACTGTGCACTTGGCTTATGGGACCATCGACGATATGTCTAACCCTTCCATGTGGCTTTTGTACTCAAAGATGGGTTTCTACGCCGCTGATATTAGGGAGCATTCGATGTTTCATGTGGACGTTTTTCCCCGGCGGTTGAATCGCAAGACCGTGCCTGAGGGTGACAGCTCCCTTAGTCTCCTCCGCCAGCTTCCTGCCGATCTTCGAGAATACTGGGCCACTGCCGCCCAGGCATTCATCCGCATATCTGAGTCAAGAATCCTCTTGGTCGTCGGTAATGTTAATACAGGACGAGGACCAATTCGGAAATCAAAATAGACACTAGAATGGAGAACAGGAAAAGCATAGGCAAACACGCAAGAAGCACCATGTTACCAAGAAACGCAGGTTAGCCAAAATGCGAGGGGGATGATTCACAAGAGGAGCATAACTCGCAGGAGGAGGGTGACTCGCAGAAGGACCGCCGCAAGAGACCTAGGAAGCAGCGTCTTGTTAGAAACCACCAGCCTCTTAAGGTCCAGACGGCTGCCCAGAAGACATTATCGGGGGAGCAGGACGAACTCGACGTGAATGCTTTCCACCAATCAGACTTCGAAGACGAGACCGATCCGCAGACCATCGGCGCTGAGCGACTTGCATGGTCATCTGTTCACGTCCCCTTATCCGACGATGCCTTGTTTGACATCACCCTGGCTGGCGACGATGTTGTGCGCATGTTCGAAACCGCCTTCCCTGTACTCTCAATATCCAACCAAAGAATAAGAATCTTTTGGGACTCGGTAAGTCCTGTCTGTACGAAATGCATGTGAAGCATATACTGACTTTGTACTTTTGCAGGTCAACCAGCACCTCCAGAGCTCACCGCCGTTCCGCATACCTGTTCGAGAGATCAATCCGCATACCTGTTCGAGAGATCAATCCACATACCTGGCCCTTGACAGATCCTGTTGTTGACGGGTTATCGGGAGATGCAGCCGCCGCAGAAGTAAGTTCTGCTTGTACGAAGTGCATGTGAGACATGTACTAACTTCGTACCTCTACCTCTCTAGGTAGCGCTCGACATCCCAATTATACCACACTGGCTCGATATGGACCCAAGCCTTCTGTGCAAGCCGGTTGGGAGTCTGGACGACACACTGATGATTGTGTCAAGTTACCCCACGGCAGATCCACGCTCTACCGTGCACCTTCGGTACAGAACGGTTGATGACCTCTCCAACGCATCTATGTGGACATTCTACAGTAAGCTCGGCTACCATGTAGCCACTATACGAGACCACGGGCTACTTCACGTCGATGTGTGCCTAAGGCGCATTGATAGGAAGCTAGTCCCTGGGGGGACAGCTCCATGTCCCTTCTTCGCCAACTGCCAGCCGACGTCCGCGAGTTCTGGGACTTTGCTGCCTACGTCTTTATTCGTCTGTCGAACTCCAAAGTTGCCCTGATTGTCGGGAACGTGGCAATCCGTTCGTACACTTTGTATCTCAAGTCGATGGCCATCCCGCATACTACTGTCTGGGCGTTCGGGGAAAGGCGGTACGCTTCTGGAATGCCACTAGCCTGGCTAGAGACATCGGCCAACGGTCGTGTCATCCATCGCATCAGTTTCGCCATCAACCATCCAGAAGCCTTCAACCGGAATCGTGGGTCGATAGTTACTGACATACAACGGAGGTACGCTTTCAGGGAGAGAATCATCGATTTTTGCCAAGCTAAGCTGTTCGGACACATTCATCTGCCCGGCCTTTTGTCGACTACTTCCTACGTCTTTCAGTTATCAACCGGCAGCATACTTCCAGTGAAAGCTCTCTTCGAACACAAGAAAGGGAACGACACGATTAAGGACCATTTCAGCCGGCCAACCCTCGACACTGGCTCCTTGGATAAAACCATGGAGAGGATTACTGGCCTCAGTGTCGAACAGCAGTTGGCTATCAAGGCCATCCGGAAATCAGTGAACGTAAAGCCGGCTGATGCGCTAAGCTATTGGAATCGCGCCGATATCAAGCTTAAGTATGCCGGATACATTGTGACCTACGTTCTGTTGACCACTACGTGGCGGAACCAAAAGGCGTCAACGGTGTCGAGGACCAGAGCGACTGCTGACCAGCAACCACCGGAGATACAGGAGAAAAGAAGGCTTCGGCACAACGCTCGGCAGGTCTCGCGTGCGTCCTAACGCAAAAAGCGGTATTGACTATATTGCTAAGGCACCTCATACCCGAAAAAAAAAAGCTGAACAGATCTGCGGGCTACATTAAGACCAAAGTCTGCAAAGTAGGTGACCTAGCGGCAACGTAGGTTCTAGGGTGTTTATTTTTTATTAGGTTAACGTGAAGGGAGAAGGAAGAGTATACTTATCCAGACCGAGGAGGGGAATTGTATGATAGGGTTGTGGTATGGTCGGTGGACTCGAGGTACCATCTGGGTCTAGATCTTTCAGATGCATCTGGGCTAGGGGACAGAAGTAGTGGGGTAGAAAGCCGTTGCGTAATGCTAGGAACGTTGTAGGATTAGCGTATACAGATCGTTGGAATCGAAGACGTGGCCTTTCTGACAGCGGATCCGACTCCACAACTCGACTTGAAACTAATGCGATGCCTTCACGATAAACAGAGAAGTATCATTGAGCTGCTGAGTAGGCAAAAGAAGTGCTGAGGATATGTTACATTTTTGGAAGAACTTTTCCATCCAATCAGGCTTCCTGGCGCAATGGTAGCGCGTCAGATTCCAGTATCACCTGGAGCTTCCTGAAGGTTATGTGTTCAAATCACATGGAGGTCATGTTTTTGAGTCTCCTGGGTGCTTGGGACAGTGTATGTTTTTTGCCGTTGGGTGGGAGGGGATGCGTTGATGCCCTGGTGCGTTGTGGTGACCGATTGCGCCAAGGAGGGGTGACTCCACTAAGAACCGAGGATCTGGACCCAAGTAGACCATGACTCTTCTGAAATTGGCGTGCATTTGTTTGAACTGCTTGAATTAACCGAAAGCTCCGAAGACAACCGCTTTACCAGATGAATTATCTTCCTGCAACATGGACCTTTCGAGCATTAAGAGGAGATGCGACGTTCTTATGAGGAGCTCTACCGGACATTAGCAAGCGTTGCAACACCAAGGAGGATGCATAGACTTACCGTCGTACTCAATTTCATATGTAACTGGCATATCCTCATCTGTGCTGATGAGGATCGGAGCGTCCCTCCGAAGCTTCCGTTCCCTTACATTGAAGCGTATACCGCTGTCCTTCCTCGGACTGACCCAGAGGATGCGCGGGTCGTCCAAGTCCGCTTTCTCTTCCTCTACCTCTCTTACGATCTCTTTGCCCTTACCTACCTCCTCAACAACCTCGATTGGTACCTCCGTATTCGCCGTCAAGCCCTTCGCCGCAATGTCTCGCAGCCAATCTCTCCACACTCGGAGTACACCTTCCTCAATGTCAACAAAGTTGGTGAAGAGATTGTGAGAACCGATCTTGACAAGATTCGTCTGCGCAACAAGCTGCGTGAACAATTCATGCGCCTCCAATCCAAGTGTCTGTCTCACGGTCTCGCCTTCGTATCTCTCCTGTACTGCCCCCGGAAAGGTACGACTGCCAGGTACGTCTCCAGGTCGGCGCTTCACTCTCCTGCCATCCGCTTCCAAATCGCGCCTATGGGGCTTGAAGCGCGAGTACATGTTGTTGTATTCGGCCAGTCTGCCAACCTCCTTTGTAGCAGAGTTGTAATCATCGTAACTCTTCAAGCCATCGGTGCATCGGTATGTACAGAAGTACGGGGGCTCGGTGAGCTTCGCAGAGGGGTGGAAACATTCGAGAAGCACCGAGTGCGAATGTAGCTCGGCAGCTGCAGTGAGCCGATTATGGAGGATACGGAGGATGAGCGTGTATATGCGATGCGATATCGTGGTCAATTGTAGGAGTTCGGGCGTTGGTATGGGCGTAAGGAGGTGGAGAAGTAACTGCAATGGTTAGCAAGTTGGGCGCGACACGGATGTGACAGGAAAGCGTGCCTCATTGGGGAGCCTGTAGAGATAGCATTCACCCATGATGTCAGATGCGATTGTATGTATATCAGGTTGCAACGTAGAATGTCAAACCTCGTGGGGCACGAGTCTACACACATGGGCGAAGGGAGCAATACCACGACTCGGAGATAAGATATCGTCATCGCGGTGCTAGGCTCACTTTGGCGGGGCCGAGGCTTGTCCGGATGAAGTTAGAGCATCATCAGAGACGCGCTTTCCCATTCAAGCCTCAGCACTCACTTTCTCAACTCACCTCGCAAACCTCAACTTCACCTGATCGTCGACTAATATCTAGGTAATAGAGTGAGTGTGGCTCTCTCTTTACCCACGATGCAAGGCTTTGTCGCTCGTCAGAGAACCGGCAGTCCTGCCGCTGGTCAGCCTCAAAGCAAGCCCGACCGCCAAGCCAATGCAGCCAACGCGAGGGTATCAATAAGAAACGGACATCCCGTTCAGCAACCTCAAGCGACTTCTGGCATTCCGGCGCGCGGACTCAACATTACCCAAAACAGCTCCGCCGTCTTACAGCCGCCCCTCCAAAATCGACAATCAGGTCCGGGTCCAAGTCAGAAGCGTGATCTCTACGACACTGATGCAGAGAGTCTTGACACTACTGTGAACCCATCTGTCGTACAGGTCGAAGATAGTCAACAGAAAGAGCAGCACTACCAACAGCAAGATCATGTCGTCAATCTTGGTGGCACTTCGGAGATGGAGGGAGAAGACGATGACAACGGAGACGAGCTAGAGGATATGGAAGACGGATCTGAAGATTATGACGACGAAATGGTGCAAATGAACCAAGAATTCATTCATGCGAGCGGAGTAGCACATCTTACTTACGATGAGCAAGTCGCCTTTTTGCATCAGGCAGGGCGCGGTGGACTCCCAACAGTCCGAGGCGACTCGTATCCCCCGACTACCAATGGTGAGCCATCCGAGTGGGAAGGCGGGCCGGAAGCACTCTCCAACTACCAAAACGAGTTTGTTCCCAGTTCCCCTCCGCCTCAACGTCAGAACATAAACAAGCAAGCTGCACGCATGCCAGCGTCCCATGTCCCGCAACAACAGCAACGGCGAAACATGCCAATTGCCAGCCAGGATACGCAGCAGGCATCGGGTTTGTTTCAGCATAGTGCGCAGCTCCGCGAGCAGTCTCGCACTGCCGCGCCTTCCCGGCAGGTTGGAGGTCAAAATGTTCAGCATCACGCCCTCGCCCTTCCCACCAGTCAACACCAAGCCTATAATCCGGACAAGCATAATAGCACTGCCAACCTGCCGATGCATTCGGGTCCTCATCCTAGTACCCAGGTACAGCCCAGCAAATCTCAGCAACACCTTGTTCGACAGTCTTCTGGCCCCAGGACGCAGCCCCCACCCAGGAACAATGCCATGCCCAGTGAGCCTCATGCGCCTCAAAAGCGCCAGCCTCTAGTACCGGCTATACATAAGCCCGTCGCGCAGCAGCAATCGGTCGAACAAGCGCCGATCGAGGAGCCTGAGGTTGTCTCCCATGAAGACTACGACCACACGACGCTGTTCGGGATGAGTTACGAGCAGCTTAGGAACGAAAGCTTCGATACTGATCCCCGTGCCCGGCCGTCTGTGCTCTCAAAGGAGGATCTTCAGAAGCCTCTGGTCGAGCGTCTAGAGTTAGTACAGCAAAACCCAGATGCCGTTCAGCAATCCGAGTTCTTCCAATCACTGCCCACAACCGAATGGGAGGATGCTGGCGACTGGTTCCTCGATCGATTCCAAGACATCATTCGTCGCACAAAGGAGGCAAGGCAAAAGAAACGCAAGCTAGCGCAGGAGTTTGAGGCAGAAGTTGAGAAGCGACACGAGCACGTTTCAAAGCGGCAGCATCAAGTTCAGCAGGCGTTGGAGAAGATGAAGTCGCAGGGTGAGGGTCTAGTGCCTAGGAGCCCAAGATCCAGGAAAGGATAGGAGCGAAGCTTCTGAGCTCTGCTCTCTTGTTTCGTACCATCTGATGTTTACACGGCGCAGCGCAATGATGGCTGCCATGACAGGATGACTGTGTCCCGGCGCAATATCACTGCTCGATGTCGTTACGCGTATATTATACCCGTATGTCGATTTACCTACTATTCCAAAACATAAGCGTGCGCCATACCTTCTCTCGCGGGGTGCATTTTATCTTACTAGAACATCATCCTAATGCGCTAGAGCTTAATTATGTACTACTACTCTTAACTAGCCTTACCTACTATCCTCTTGTGTACAGTTTGTCTATTAAAAGCTAAGCAACTTACAGTACTGTTCTATTTAGAGAAGGAATTAAACAGATAAGTTGCAGTCTATATTAATCTTAAAACTAAAGTCCACAAAGTCTTTAGGCAATGTAGACTCCTTAGTGGTTTGTATCTCTCAGTCTCCGTAGATGTATGTTCAATCTTTCTCTTTGAACGAGGTCGTGCTCTTCAACATGTATTCACTCTCATCACAAAGCATGAGCAATCGCGACTGTAGCGGAGTAGAGTAGAGAGGAGTTCCACAACAACGAGGAGCAGTTTTCTAGATGAGATGCACTATCGATAAGATCGTTGTCATCTCCCGACAAGCGCATCTTTCATCTCAGGATACTCTCTCCATAGATTCACAAGCGGCAAGAATAGATTCTTCTGCACCTCTTTTCCTTCTTGTTCAGCTTTCGCCTGTTCTCCAACCCATTTCCACATTTGGCTCCACGGAACCCAACTCCACGCAGCACATTTATGCGGTTCCATCGGCTGTCAAACCCATCAGTACTGCATCTCCTTTCCCCGTCAACTCCAGCATGAAGAGAGACTTACCATGGGTGTCTTGTTTTCACCAACAATGGTGCAAGTAACGAAAATGGTCACATAGTGCTTTCCCTCTCCGAAAACATCGTTGGTAGCAGTCAGAAACTTGATGTTGCCCACCTCAAGCCCAGTCTCCTCCAGAACCTCTCTTGCAGCCGTTTCAGCAAACGACTCGCCGTACTCGAGATGACCTCCGGGACATTGAAGGGTTCCTGCGCCGTGCGAGCCTGCACGCTCGCCCATGACGATGTTGCCCGCATTGTCATGGATGACAACGCCGACGCCGATCTTGGGACGTTGAGCTTCTGTCATATCTGAAGAAGTCGATGGGGTTCTCCGCTTCGTAGGCAGG